TCGTTTTTTTGAAAGTGTTATGGTCCAGGTTAGGACCAAGGAAGAACAACACGAACACAAGAGTAGAAATAACGAATGTATATTACACGAAATAATAATACAAGATGTGGAAGGTGTTAGTATGAATGTCAGTCTGGTTTGGAATGAACTACTATCGGCTCGACTCGATTTGATATCTAGCCACCCCCCAACGAGGGTTGCATATGGCACAAGGCCGAGTTTAACGTGAGTTTTCCGACCCATAGGCTCGACGAAAAAATGCCCGTAGAAACTGTAAAAACAGAATCGGGTTGGTCAACCTCCCCGAACAAGACTCTGCCCTTCGGCGGCACCTCATCCGGGTTCCGAGTTCGACCATCAAGCCGAAACGGCTCGACTCCATTCAATATCTAGCCACCCCCACCACGAGGTTTGCCTATGGCACAAGGACGAATTTAACGTGGGTTTCCCGAGCCCGTAGGCTCGGCCAAAAAATGCCCGTAGAAACTGTAAAAACAGAATCGGGTTGGTCAACCTCCCCATACTACACACTGCCCTTCGGCGTATCCTCGTCCGGGTTCCTCTCTGCCCAGAGACAGAGAGTTCGACCGCCAAGCCGTGAAGCTCGGCTCGATTCAGTATCAAGCCACCCCACACGAGGGTTGCATGTGGCACAAAGCCGAGTTTAAAGTGGGTTTCCCGAGCCCGTAGGCTCGGCCAAAAAATGCCCGTACAACCCGTATAAACGGAATCGGGTTGGTCAACCTCCCCGAATGACACTCTACCCTACGGCTGAGCCTCGAGCGTGTTCCTCTCTGCTCAGAGGCAGAGAGTTCGACCGTCAAGCCGAGAAGCTCGACTCGATTCGATATTTACTTGCCCCCCCCAACACGAGGATTGTATGTGACACAAGGCCGAGTTTAACGTGAGTTTCCCGAGCCAGTAAGGATGGCCAAAAAATGACGGTAGAACCCGTATAAACGGGATCGGGTTGGTCAACCACTCCGAACGAGACTCTGCCCTACGGCGGAGCCTCGTCCGGGTTCCTCTCTGCTCAGAGGCAGAGAGTTCGACCGTCAAGCCGAGAAGCTCGGCTTGATTCGTCCCTCTCTCTTGAGAGGCGTAGTATACATAGTGTTAGGAAGAGTTCATTCTGTAGTTATAGGTAAGGACCTATGACAGAAAGAATATTTTTTTGCGTTTCAGTATAACCAAATTCATTTGTATTCTTATTGTGACAACAGAAAATCTACCAAGAATGCTGATATATTGTAAGAGCCTAGACGCAAATTTACCTTGGCTGACCTAGCTATCAATGTTCTTTCCAGACATTTTCATCTCAGTTGATTATTTTCTCTTTTAATCAAAAGAGCATTCCCTATGTCAAAATTGTGGCCAGTTTCGTTACGGTGAACAACCAATGCATTTTATGTGTTATTTTTTAAAATGTCCCTTTTGTGTTCATTATAATCTTTTGTTTAAACTCTGAGGTTTCTCTAATGTATTCATTCTGGCAATTCCTGTATTTGATAGAATAAATTCCTCCTTCAAGATTTGACTGGTTGTTTTGTTTTTTATTGATTAAGTCTTTGATTGTTTTAGATGTAGTTGTGACATATTTCATGTTGAGTTTAGATAAACTCTTTTCGGTTGTAGTTGTGATAGAGTTAGTGGGTAGAATAATATATATAAATTGGGATCAAATACAGATCAAATATGGATCGAAATCCTGCAGAATAAGATAAAGAACAAATAGAAAACATGTTTCTTAGAGTTTCAGCTGATAATGTGAAAATTGGAAATTCGATTAAATTCATGAAACGCTAAAAAAGAGTTGTACCTACTGACGTCGCAGGCCTCTCGGTGCTCTATTGTTATTTCCATGAAAAGTCCTCGGGCAAACTACATTCCTTAATTCCACCAGTTCTAACCTTCAAGGCTAAGAGTCGCAAATTACAACAAACCGCCCACATTCTCTTCGTTTGTTTGTGTGTTTGTTTGACGGTTTATCAACACCTTATGGGTCATTTAATGCCGAAATTTAATTTTCTTGGGAGCATTAGTATTTTCTTTTACAAACATATATTACTGGCAATAAATATAGATATATATATATATATTCATATATGTTTCATTAAATAATATAGACAAGTGTTGTCTATTTATTTTATGTAAATTCTTTTCATAACCTCTGATAAGCTTAATAACATTATTATTAAACGAAGAAAGGAAATCACAATATTGATCCATATTTTTTAATCCAATCTAAGCTTTCGGCTTACATAAGCCATTATCAAAGATGTCAATTACTATACAACATATTAAGCAATATACGGACAAGGCAGTGATGATAGTCTGTGATTGTTTACATGGATGATTTCCTAGCAACGATAAACACGTGCATATAAGACGCTAGAAGCCATATATAATAAAATTATTGGTAATCCGTATGGAATTTCCAAGAGAATATAGATCTGTTGAGAGCTCTATGTCAAAAGACAGAGCAAAAATTATTATGTCATTATATATATATATATATATATATATATATATATATATATATATATATTGAAATGGATTAAGTCCGACAATTATTTAATATATTTTCTGTTTATGCATTTTTTTTTCATGGATACAATCTA